CGGCTCCGTGTGCTGAAATACGCTTAAGACTGCATGATAAGTGCAACTCTCCAAATACTTCTCCTTGCTTAGTCAACGCCACAGGACGTTTTCAGATAGTTAAGACAGAAACAGTGCAAAACTGGGGGCAAAGCAAATACCTGCCGCATTGGGCACTCCAAGACGTCATTAACATGACAGTAATTTAAAGAGGACAGTTTTTAAAGGTGCAAGACCGGAGTCGAAAGTTTAAAGACCGCAAAAGTAAATTCTCTATGATTCCGGAAGGATTAGAATAAAACGAAATGGAATTCTAGGCGGTCTAGGACGTTAAGAGAGGATCCTGAAACAGTCTACTATATAGCGTCCAACGCAGTAGACAGTCACATAACAGACGAAGAACGATTTAAAACAACCGAGATCTTGTGCATACAAGTTACACAACGCGGGACCTCCTTTTCCAAAGCTGAAACTCATATGCTTGTTAGGCACAGAGGACATGATGCTGGAATCTAAATGACAGTTGAATGCTCCCCTCGATACAACGGTTTTGTCTCTACTCAGCAGTTAGACCCCGTGACCCCTTAAGGATGTTTATGCTGACACTTGAGAACTGTCAAACCCGTTTGACATGAAATAAAAGGATAAGCAAAACGCATCGAAAATAAGAAAAAAGCGGACTAACCAGAGTATATTCTTGGGCCGATGGAATCGGAGGCAACGTGCCCAGCCAGGCTTACTTCAATGCACGAGTTGATGGCAACAACTTTGGGATTTTGGGCGATGATTTCTGGCGCGTTTGTCCATTGTACGTCCTTCATTACTGGAATCGATGAGACAAAAACATGAATTTTCAATTTTTTAAAAAACGGCCCACACACAACCAAGTCATATGTGGCCCGAAATACGCACGTACTATCCTATGTGATTGAAATATGGGCATCAAAGTTTCCCATTACCCTCTTGACAACTATAAACAGTATCCGTTAATTAAGTATGGGCAGATTCTATATTTGGAAAAGACAGCCTAAAATGTGGAAAGTATATCTCCTTCCCATAGAACAACAACTACTTGGATGGTTGCATGTTACGAGGGCCATCAACACGATGCAACCGAAAAAATTGTTTTATCGTAGTTTTTCCCAGAAATTGCGCCCCTGACAAACTTTCGCCCACTTGAGGGATTAACATGGCGTGGAGACATAGTGCGAAATCACATCGATGATTATCGCTCTTCACAGTAGTTCGATAACCCTGCACATCAGACAGTTAGATGTACCCGCAAAATACTATCTTTGGTTCCACTAGGTGCATAGTTCGAGGCCGTTCACGCTGTCCTTTTCTTAAACAACTGATGTCTTATATAATCCACTGCAAGACTCATTCAAAAATTCCTCGGACTAAACACCTAAAACAGGGTAGACTTCTTTTAAAATATAACTATCACCATGATTAAGCATTTCCTTGGCAGTGGATGTCTGCTGTCTTACTCTAAATTTTTAAACTTCTATTTAGTTCACTGTATTTTACGAGGACACGGATATTATTTAGGCTGTTGGATTTTAAAGACACCTCTTGATTCGCAACTGACATTCGCTTAAATCTCCTACAAAGTCGCAGGCACTGGGATGGATAATACTCCTATGTGCCGGTCTTTTTGTATTGAATGTAAAAATATACTAACTTTTCGGCTCCCATTTTAGCCTTTTTCGTATGAATCTGCGGACTCCGCTTAACTGCACTCATATATATAAAGATTTTTCGAGAAGCAGTAAACACTTGTGGTCATGAGGACGTTTGCACCTAATTCCTGTATCATTTTAAGTCTAACCTCCTAACGCATTCACGCATAGGTTTTTCAGATTTTATGCGATTTAATAAAGACACGTGCGCTTTAAGCGCTTGTGAGAATAACCAGTGGAATTGGTTGCAACAGTGTGCTGTTTAAGTGGTCTAGCCTGCTCCTCAAGCTATACATGGCCGTTCTATCTGACGAATTATTAGGAGTCATTAGTCACAAACCTAGGGTCAGGAATCAAAACGCTGTGTTGATGAGACTGGTAAACTGCAAAGGCAGATAAACGCGCAAGTCAATGTGCCTTAGAGGTGGCAGTTTAAATAGTTATATTTAACTGCATGTTCAGATAAGTGCATACGCAATGTGCGGGTCGTGGATAGCCCGTTTGGTAGAGGGCCACTAACTGATTGCTTTACGGTACTCACTCGTCCCGTTATGCCTTTTAACTCAGTTTTGAGTTCCGCAAGTACCTGGTCAGTGAACAGTATTATAGGCAGCACAGCATTACCGACAAAAGTAAGGAAGACTGAAATGTTCATTTATGGCTTATTGGCCACTATCAGCCAGCAACACTCACCCCAGAAGTGTGTAATACCGCTGTAGGGCAGCAGTGAGAGCCCTAAGACCCAACGGGACGAGTGAGTTCCATAAAAACGGTCGGTGAACGCCCCTCCACCAACGTACAAAGTGTCAACTGAGATCAGACTCTTGCAAACCTTGCACTTTGAAAAGACAGTGCATAACTCGTACAACATTCGCGTAAAGATCAATAGACATGCCGGACTGCAGTACAGACTTCCGCTTGAAAATCATGTCGGCCGAACTGACCACGAAGGGGTTACATTTTTACCAGTGAGGACAATAGGCAACACTTACTTAGGTCTGAATTCTTGTCCACAAAAGAGAACACTCGCTCGCTTCCCAGTATGAAACTGGAAACAATGAAGCCCCGGTACAGCTTCTTCAGTGCGTTAGTAATGACACCGGTCTCGCAGAGGTCAATTATGCCATCGGAGAACATTTCAGTGTGGATTCCAAGGTTTTTATGGGAATGCAGTAGTGACAGAACAATATCCGGTATTGAACCGATACCTGAAACAGGCAACATTACAGTTTCGGAGTGGTAGATTTTCAAAGTAGATGGTTAGAAACTGTTAGGCTCCTATGGAACACGGACTTTCGTAGGTCTAGCGTTTGCTAATCCTTAAGGAATGACAAATTTATAGAGGGGAACGTGATTGGAGAAGAGGGCTGTGCTTTCCTTACAAGCATCTAAAAATTCTAAGACTTGTATTTATTACTATCAGTATTGTATTATTTCTTCTCTACTTTTGTAAAATGTCATAACGGCTTGGAGAAAAAACGATGAGTGAGCACTACTGTATGTCTAAATAAAATGCAGCTCACCCATCTGCAGTGTGCTTCCATCATCAATTAGGTTCTCCGCTATTAGTTTGCCAATGCTCCCTTCCTCGGTTCCAGCCTTCGGCAAGGGAAGAGTGTGCATAGGCATGGATTTGGGCACCAGATATTTGAATCTGCTTTCATGCAAAAGGGAATCGCCGTAGGTGAACGGTGTAAGGGGATTAACCTGGCCTAACAGAGGGGATTAAACAGGAGATTATTCCTGACGGGAAGTTTGGTTGACCTACCGACCAGACACTTTGCTGTCTCGACGGCTCCCAACACGGTTTTAATAGACGGTCCCATTGAGTAGTTGCCATGGGCGTCGGGAGCAGATACGTTGATGATGCACATATCAAGATCAATCAATTTTCGCCGATAAAAACGCGGCACTTCATTGAGGAACATTGGTGCATAGTCAACTTTTCCTGAATTGACCTCCTTGCGTCCGACAGAACCTTAATTTGATGCATACTCACTATGCTTACAGAAAGTACTTACCCAGGAAAAAGAATGTTGTTTTAAAATGCGAGGCATACGGTTCTTTTACAAAAAGGCCTTCGCCAAAAGGTAGCGTAGTGTAGATATGTACGTTCTTGAGATTTCGGGCATGGACGTACTCACAAAAGTCCCTAATTAAAGGGTCCGGTGTACTTGCTACGCCCTGAATTGCAACATGTGAACCTTAATTTTTGATAAAATTGGTAGGGGAAGCACGCACCATCCCTGAGAGAACTGAAAACCTCTTCAGCCTTTGTAGTAACTTTCGGCTTCTCTCCTTGCTGAATGGGAAGCTTGGCTAAACGTCGTATTTGTTTGTCAGCAAAAAGCCGCCAAATGTTTCTTGAGAGCAATATTCCGGAACATGTCCGCCATTGGTCCATGACTGAAAAAGAACAATCTTCATTATTCTCGGCTGGATGATCTCACTGTTGAATATTTTATGCGGCGTTTCAGGGGCATTTTCAGCATAGGAAACGAACAGGATTTCCACAGACTAACAAGATACTACATCAAGATAGAGGCAAGAATATTTAAGTACTTTGAACGTAGTGTGAGAAAAGAAATCGACGATTTTTGCTCCATTTTTTCCAGATGAGCCTAGTTAAAAGAAGATAAACAAATTCAGTAAACAGGGGCTTTCACAGATGCATTCGACAGTCAACATACGCGTGCCACATCTAAAGGCGAAACATCCGAATCCAATGTGAGTGAACTCCTGCGAGCTCGTAGCATATACTGTGACCCAAAGGTGTTAAACCTGCTCCCATGCCTCCAAGGCTCCTATTTATAGTCTCAGTTTGACTCTGTATTTCACCTTGAACATGTTGCAACCTATGGAGGGGGAGGGTGCGAGGGAGAAGGAAGGCTAGCATGGATATTTATTCTGCGTTTGCCTTTTACTCTGAATAAGCTCTAGCCCATGCATACATGGAGCGGGACAGTGGAAGGGAGGAAAGGGAAGAGTAGGATTGATACTTTTCCTATACTTGAGTCATGAGCCAATCTCGGGAAGATCGGGGAGTAGAATCAGGAATCATCCCACCACTAAGTTAGACTTGTGCTACACGGGACATCGCCAGGCACACACACACACACACACACACGGTTTGCCTGCCGTGATTTATAAAGTCCGGTTTGCAGGGCGACGGCTTTCACTGCTCTCACCTGTTTGCAAAAGGGAACACAGGAATCTTAAGGTCAAAACCTGCGGCCCAGCTATCGCGAACGATGATGTCCACCGTGTGCCCAACTGCATGGTGGGCGCAGGGCGGTGATCTGCGCGTGGATTTGTTTATAGTGATAGACAATTTGTGCAGCTTCTAGCACACGCTCTTCTCCCCCGCCCACCTGAGTCCAGTGCCAAGAGAGAGTCAGGAAGACCGGAGGCGGGAGAGGGCGCACTGGCTGACAAAGTTAGACGACCCGTCTACGCGTCCGCACAAGACGAAACAGGATTTCCCAGAAATAAGGGGGCGGCTCGGCTGTGGTGGCGTAGCAGCCACATCAGGAAGCAGCCACTCCAGCCTGACTGACCGTTTTAAGGTGGCCGAGTTGTTTCGTCAGTTGGAAGCCTTCCAAGGCATGGTTTTTTTAGCGAAACGTGTGGCATCTTTTTGGTTGCGTAGCCCTAATAACGCTTGCCGCGCTCTAACCTACCCCTCACGTGGATCTAGCTCAGCCCCTACGTGGATCGTTGTAGGGGCATAGTTGATGATCTAACGAGACCAGAAATGTCAATCCAACTATTATTTGTCTTCCCTTTGATTTCACTGTTCCGCGACTTATGGCTCTTTTCAGTCTGGCGTCTGGAAAATGTCCTGGAGACGGCACAAGGAAATAATCTTTTTATTCAGTCCTGCACGACACCCCTATTATTTTCTATCGCTCCAACATTAAACACATCACATTTAACTCTATCCCAATGTTGCAACAATTTTCCATTATCTTCACACAACGATAACTCGACGATACATAAAACACTTCTAAATAGTCTCTGGCAGTAAATGTTTGTTAAGTAACCTCAAGCCTGGAAATCAATGCAGACTGAAAGTCGGCAGAATACTTAGCCTTATAATTTTAGAAAAATCACCTCTTAAAACAGTTCCAGAGTCTTTCTGGTGTTCTCAAATTGTTCCTAAATATCTTCCCTAATGTATCCAATAAAATAAATGCATAAATCAGAATAATTACGTGGGCAAAAAGGAGAACATTGAGCAATCCAGGATATTTTGCGCTACGAAAGTGTCCAAACGACAAACCAAGAGTCACTAATTTATAACGCAGCTAAGACTTCGATGACGATGTCTGAGCGTTCGATGAAACACTACTTAATTAAGAGCAGTAAGTCTACCGCGTGTAAGCGTCTCTCGGTGAAGATACTTTTGAAAAGAGTACACAAAGGATCAAGCACTCTAGAAGGGGCAGAGCTGACGTCGCGCCAGAATGTCAAAACCAGTTGGTGTGATAACAACACCCAGTTTTTGCGACTTCATTAAAGCCAGCTTGTCAATCATCGCCTGAAGCAGCGAATACTGTGCGTCAGAGGTCATCGTCGAAGGATTAATTAGCTAAAACTGGTCGCACCGCGAATTAGACGAGCCCATGCATTAGCAGCAGATAAACGGAACCAAGGGGCGACTGAGTGCAGAGTTTTTAAGACTAGACTGCATTCGTTGATGTAAGGTGATCCTCTCTCGTAGAGTAGACAGTAACGTAGGTCAAGGCGTCGGAAGCATTTTCTCCCCCGTCATCGTTCTACAACATTTCGCGTTTGGTGCAAAAGGCGAAAGTTTAACAATATCCAGTCAAGGTCTTACATAGGAGTTTGAGCGAAAAATTTACTAAAATATAATCACGACCTTGATCAACATGACACGTAGTCTGCAGTCACTTTGCGTCTGGCAGCTTTCTGAAATGTAGTTGTGCACTTTCCTTGCCACCGGCGCAAACCATCAAGGTGAATAAACTTTCTTATTTACATACTGCGCATTTTTTCCATTGGTGTCCCAAGCTTGCATAAATAATCAGTCCTTTTACTCCTGTCGAGAACTTCTTCAAATTGCGTCATCGACAGCATGTCCTAATGCAGTTTCCAGAAGTTTGTAATGATAAACATCTTAGGACACTCATAGCACCCTATCCTCGGGTTTGTTAATGCTGTTCATAATTGTGCACCGTGACCTCCCATAACGCAAGGCGCTGTAGATGCACTGGACCAAGGTGCGGGTCCGCCTGATTGTCGGCAGGAGTTAATTAGGCGGCGTCGATTCCGTGAGAGCCCTTAACCACTGCTGAACATGCGAGTGGCCCACCCTAGACGTAGGCCTTCACGTCGCGTTAGCTGCAGTCGACTGTCGCTTAGGAGAGGCAATAGCGAGTGGGTTCGACACAGGGGAATCAACACATTCTTCACCATGATAGATCTGACGCCCGAATCTGTCACGACGTGCTAAGAGTCCGGCCTTATAGGTCTGCCGACTGACAGGATAACTCGGTCCTTCCGAAGACTGTCAGGCTGCAACTATTCCTTCTTAATTTGGCCGTCATAGTATCGTCCCCTATGTGACTATTTAGCTTTTTCAACCACTGCGCCCACAACCACATTCAGCCGCCTTTACTTTGCTTTCATTTAACCGGGTTGGGTCGGGGATGGACAATGTGGCAAATGCTGCATGAGTTTTTTTCACTGGCAGGTCGAATGTCGCATGCAACAATATTTCCCACGTGCCTCACGAAATGCTGGGTGCTGGACGGTGACTCATGCAGCATCTTTCGCATTGTCTCCTCCCTCATCCACCTGGACCTGATGGAAAGACAGATTCAGGACGACCGGAGGCGGCTCGAGCGCAGTGCCTGACAAAGCCAACCAGTCCTTCTACGTGCGTCACACGCGAGCTGGTCCTTGCGCAATTAACTAGGTATTTACAAAAAATTGACTCAGATCTCATGTGTGTGAAAGCGTCCCAGTGGCCATATCAAGAAGAAACCACTCAGCCTGACTCTGACTGTCAGCTACTAAATCAACATACACACAGTACTGAGCAGGAGCACCAAGTCACTCCATCAGTTGCCAGTCTTCCAGGTCACGACTTTTAGCGCGTCATGACAGATGCATGCACGTCCGACTTATTGATGGCGGATGCGCTGAAGTGCCGTGGAAATGGATTCCCAGAGTCGGCCTCTCTCTTTCTTTTAGCATGAACCATTTGACTGTACGAGCTTGTCAGCCATTTGTTGCAATGACTGTCGCAATGACTGGCAAAACTTAACAGCCGGCCTACGTATGTTACAAATGACCTAGTCCATGAAGCGCTTTTCCGGTTTTTAAAGGGAGGTGGCTCGAGCCTCCTGCGCATTGGAATGTCATAAATACCATAATAAGAAAGAGAAGTTGGACTTGACACTCAGTTGGCTAGCCAGTCAACCCACAGATACACACGGTACTCAATATGCGGAACGAAATACCCAGTCCGTTGGGCTATTCCCAAGTCACGATCCTTCGTGCACTGTGATAGTCTTAGAGCGCTACAGATTTATTAAAATGAGTAATGCGCTGATGTAGCTTGGGCACTGGTTTTCCAGTGTCGATTTTGCTCTTCCGTCTCCATGCACTAGTCAACTGCCAGAGCCTGTCAGTTAGTTAGTGGTGGGATTCGGCGTAATGGCTGACGGAGCTTCAGGAGCATGTATACGTTTGCCTCACACAACTTCATCAGGCACCATGTCGTATAAAATAACACTGCTGACGGATGTTTTACTCTTCAAATAACCACTATTCCTCTATCAGGAAAAAAACTTTGTTCAGTTAGACACTGCCAAACACAGTGTCTGCTTATGGGAGTTGTGCGACAGACTACGAAAATATGCGGATATAAACATTCGTGACCTAACCTCTGGCAATCCTCAGAAGTTGAATTTGTTCAACTCTGTGTGTGCTTAAACGGAACCGCATTCCCTCCGAAAATGGATCAATGCGAACCTCTGGACACCCGATAATAAGGTAGTTTAGTTGCATAAGCCGACGTTAAAAATCAAATGGATACTGTCTTTCAACTCGGACTCGAACAATAATGAATACGTTTACCTTACTATTGTCGGAACACCTAGGTGTTTTCCAACCCATAGTGAAAAATGTGGGATCACATTCTTCAGTATGTCTCATTACACAAACTGTTGTATCGGTTGCGTTTCCTCTGTTTAACGGCAGAGCATTGGCCAGCGGTTTAGATTATGCTGAAGGTGAAGGACAATTGAGCTGACATTGGACCTTCTGACGATGCATGAACAAACGATAACTCTAGTGTCTGCAACAAGTTGGCGTAATTCCCAAACGACCAGCAAAATACAGTACTTATTCGTCCTATTTATTTAATGGAAAGTCTTCCTACTTGCTTACATGGAAGTATATGGTCGATCTAGTTAGTCCGCTCTGAACTTTTGGATAAAATAATCCGTTTCATCACCCGTATGTTTGATCAATGCAGCCCTTTATACGCTACACAAGACCTTCTATTTAATCTTTCTAAATCAAGCTTGATAAATAGACCACCAATTTTCACGCTTTCGGTAATTCATATTTGTTGAATAAGGTATCTGCAGGTTTTTCCGCAAGTGGTTGCAATGTCGCCTTGGCTTTGCATATCGTTCATACCAGGAGGCTTGTTTTTCCGCCCTTCCTGAATATTTTTATTCGATGCGTTAAATGCTTCTTTGAAGCTCTAAGTATCCAAACGGGGTTCTTAGATGTCAGTCATAAATAAAAGACTATTTGCCAGGCCATGTCTGCTGCGAACATACACTTGCACACATTCACAGACCTGGCACTTTTGATGAAGCATCTTCAATTAACTTGAAAGGAGCGGAGACTCTTGAGTGTTGTAGAATGACCAAGTTTTCGTTATGCAAAATGTGCTCATTTCGTACCATATCACTCATCTCATACCACTGGTTCACTCAGCTTTTCCTGTTTGATTTATGATAGATACTGCAATTTTGAAATTTACACCAATTAATCTAACTCCTCGCTACTGTGCCATACAGCGATACAATATTGGCAAAGGAGGTGTCTGGGGTTTAAGCTAGTACCCGCGGGAACTAGCTAGCGCGCGCTGCCAAGTAACACTTGGCATACTATATGATATCATATATATGTCGACATATATATGATATGATATCGTATAGACCATGCCGTCATCTTGAACGTAATGTATGCCACTGATTGGGAAAATCATCATCTTAGTGTTCAGTCCAAAGTACTAACAGTTAAGGAATACGGTTAAGGAATATAGTATACTTTGGTTATAACCATACACAAAAATGTTTATTGAAAACCAATCGCAGGCCATATTTCGTAGAGTTTGGCCTAAAACAATAATCAAATTAGTTACTATTATAAATGTAGACAATAATACCAATAGATGGTATTAATTTCTCACCTTTCTACAGGAATATCGATGAGTCAACCTCCATTCATAAACTGGCGGTGATATTTATATGCCTTCAACTCTGCGCTTGAAGCCGTGAGTGGTTGTCATAGTTTTATATGTGGTACAGTAAAAGGAGATCGATTTTCTAACATTGCAAGTATGAACTTATGGAATCCATAAGTCTGACTTCTAATTAAGAATAAGTCGATGATCAACAGCAGGCAGTTACTGTACCAAACAACGTAATTTGCTGCAAAGACGAGTCTATTTTCAGGTAATGAAGTCATATTCGATGGTGAGATTCCACAGCAAAGTCTTGGTTCCAACGTCAAAGGCGAGTGTGGACCGACAAAGTTAGTTTGCATTATAGGATAAGAAATGGTTTCCGTGATCGAGCGAAGCAAAGTGGGTTCAGATAAGAAAGCAGACAGGCCGGTCCATAGGTGGTGCTGATGGTTGTTGACGGTGGCCCTGACCCCGACAACAAATCCCAACATAATGTACGACTTTTCCTGGGACTTAATGGCATAAAAACGCCTCCAAGCCGAGTAAACCGAAAATTCATGTAGTGGAACAATTCTGGAAAAAGCCAGCAAGCTTCATGACTGCAACGAGCTTACGATAGTCTGTGTTGATTGGCAGAACTGGCACGGTGCGCGCAATTCAAAATAAATTTTCTAATTTTTCGTCTCCGAGGGATTAACTTTCTTTGGAATTCCAGTCCTCTGGTCGTTTTAGTATTTTTCCATTAGTAAGAATCGGACTTCAACGAGCAATTTTCTCGCCTTCACAGATTTACAATTGCACTTCAATAAGAACAACAAACCTTCTTCTGACACCTGGACAAACTTCTCCAGCTCCAGAAAAGACTGAGTTGTTTTGTTATTTATTTTCCACAGCTGACCTGGCTAACGTACTTCGTTTCATGCCTTGAATTAACTGCATATGCTTTGAATGACTAATGAGAATCGACAAAAGGCCTTCAGGACAATTTCGGAAAAAGTCGTCACAAATTGGATTTAGACCCGCAACGACGTTACTACTAGCCTGTCGACAAATGCTGTTTGAGTTGAAATAATTAAAGGAGCGAAAGTTACTCTTAGTAATAAATGACTGCAACTCTGTTGATTTCGCTGTTATATCACCTCCTGCCAAACGAGAAAGGAGTATGTAAGCTGGATGGAAGTCGTATAGGAAGACGAAGCTCGTACGACGTGCTTCGGACGCCTTCAAAAATTTGTGGAAATGTAGAAGGATATTAAGGGCCTAAAATGTATATGGAGGATTTGAGCAATCTCCCTCCCTATATACCCAAGGAGAAGATATCGATGACAACCGAAATTCAGGAAAAAGAACGAGCTTACGCAAACACGGCTTCCTTAGCTGCGTCGACCGAGGAGAAAGAAAATAGTGGGTGTCTGGAGGTCGGTATGAATGACAACCAGTGTCCTGCGCAAGAAAAATGTAACCGGATGGTATCTCAAAAGATAAAACATGTCTCAGAACACTGCGAAAAGACACAGAAGGTCAGGTAGGGGAGCAAGAGTTCAGCAAGCCACAAACAAAAATCTTTCCTTCGAAAATAGCGAATGATCAGAAGACCGTAATAGACGGGGAGTTATACGTAAGTCCAGCCAAATCAAACCTTCCTAAATCAGAGAATGGCCGTAGCAGGGATATCCGTGATGAAGTCTCTGTACGTATGATTAAACGACATGATCTTCGAGTTGATCGCAGTAAATGCCTTGCCATAAAAGGCAGATCTGAGTCTGTTTCGGACACTCCAAAGGACAAAACACATCATGACAAATATTCTAGGTATATCTGAAATCACTTTTAAAAGGAGACGAGAAAGTCAGGGTATTGAAGGCTTTCAAAACGTGGGTCAGACCGGCCGAGACCGCTAAAAATTGCCTTTCAGAATGTTGAAAAAGCGCAGCTACTGTAGAACAGGAAATCTGCACTCCAAAATAACCACCCAACAGTCTTAAGCAGCACTTTTCACCCGCGGAGAGAACGAAATGCAGGGGTTTAAACTGGAAGTCCTCAGGAGTTCGAGCACGGGCGAGGAAAGTCGAAAATACGGAATGCGTATATAAGACACGCCAAGAGGCCATTCCTCTGGAGTGGGCACGAAACCCTAACAGTTTAAGCGGGATGGACAGCAGTCTATCTTGATCAGCTCTGTCCCGATCTTGCATTCGATCCCATGAAATAAACAGAGGCTCATATGCCGGAGTTAATCAGGCCAAATTTGGATTTTGTGTACTAATGCTCAAGGTCTCGTTTCAAAGATTTACGACCTAGACCTTCTTCATCAATAAGCCGGTGCCCTCCTGAAGGATCGGCAAATATTCACAGTTAAAAGGCTTTCCGGCTGGGCAAACCGGACCCAAGTCTTGGCCTGAAAATATTCCCAAGACCGTAGTTTGAATGGATGGCCTCCTAGGTTTGTGGTTGTTGTTAACTTGAAAAATTCCCCCGGTACAAGGCTGCAGTCCTGACTGCGTTTGATACGGAATGTTGCTGCCTGTAACTCAAGGAAAAAAGATAAAGATTAGCTTACCGTGTTTCATAAAGTACTGAACCCTGTCCTGCCACAAGTTTCATAGTATGCCCTTGAGCCTTTTCGAGGATACTGAGGTCCTTAGCGGTCCAGGGTCTCCAAGCTTGCATAGCAAATTCCAACTCCGGCCGCACAAACGTTCGAAAGACTTTAGTGAAGTAGTCTTCATCAAGGGTGGAGAAAACCCGCTTGACAAAGTAGAGAACTGACATTGCAGACTTGGCTACCTTCGTGCAGTGCAGCGGGAGTTTGAGCGTGGTCGTAATCCATATTCCCAAGTCCTTCTGTTGGTCCACTTCTTACAGTGCTGTGTCATTCAGGTAGTAGGCTGTGAGGTTCGGATAGCTGGTTCTGCCGACATGTAGATTATTGCACTTGTCCTCATTAAACAGCAAAAGCCAGTCCTTTGACCACTGTTAGAGTCGGTTTAGTTATGCATGCAAATGCTCTTCGTCATCTGCAGTTCGGATTACGTTCAAAAGCTAAATGTCATCCGCAAATATGGCGACACCACAATCCGGTCCACTAAAGCAGTTGTTGACGTTAATAATGAACAGAGTAGAACCAAGAACTGAACCTTGTGGAACATTGCTTTCAACGGCTACCACCGACTGCTGGCCGCCGACATGGACGGTTTGTGAACGGTCAAATTGGAAGCTTAAAATCCATTTTAAAAAATTACCCCTAACGCCTGTTCGCCTTAGTTCGTGTAGGAGTCGCTGATTTGGGACACTATCACATAACTTTTTAAAGTCGATATAGACTACATGCAGCGCATTGCCTTCATCAACTGCTCGAGTCCAGCGCTCCAAACAGTAGACCAATTACGTCACGCAAGATCTGCCGCCATGGAAACCATGCTGCGCATCGGACAATAGATTATGCTGCTCTAAGAAGCACATTAGCTGCCGCTCGATTATTTTATCCATAATTTTTCAGCAGATGGAAGTGAGGCTTAATGGACTGCAGTTGCTTGCAGAGGCCTGGCTGTCAGTTTTATATAGCAGTGTGGTCCACGCAGATTTCCAATCGGCAGGTAAATAGCCGTTTTCGAACGAGACGTGGGAAAGCACAGACTGTGGTTTGTCTAGTTCAGCAGCGAGCTCCTTCCGTAATTATAGCGGTATGTCGTCTATACCCGATGATTTCGACTCAATTATCGTCATCAGCTCTTTGCGAATAGTCGATTTAGCAAAAGATACAGCCTTAATTTTTACCTCCTAATCGAAGCCGTAGTCTAAAGTAGTAAATTCCCTTTCACTCGTAAAGATTGATTTAAAAAATTGTGAAAGGTTTTAGGCTTTTGCTTCATTCTAACTAACCCCTTGGCCTCCGCTTGTCTTAATGAGGGGAACAGGATCTCTGTTTCGTGTGCTGCTACTTATGTAACTGTGGAATAATTTCGGATTTTCGACAGCGCGATTCGATAGGCCTTTTCCAAAATGTTGCGTGTCCTGCGGGTAAGTTGCCTGACTTGGCTCCTCTATGCTTTGTTTGCGTTTATGGACACAGGATCCCCATTAGTGAACGATTTCTGCCACAATCTCCGATTTTTAATTACATGTAATAACTCACTGAACCATTTCCAATCCTTCGCTATATTCCCCGGAAAAAGCTGGTTTCCAGTCTATTGTGTTTATTTCGGACTTCATTTGATCGAAATTAGCACGCCAAATATTTCTTCTAATTCTGATGGGCTGTTCAATCTAAGAAACAATTAAATGTTCCCAGTGAAGTACGACGTGTTCGCTTCAACCGAGGGGAGGCAGAAATTGCACTTCATCCGTGCTGTCCGGCGATTTCGTGAGCACTAGGTCAAGGCAGTTTGACTGCTGTCCCTCAGGCAGCCTCGTGGGAGATAGGACGTGCTGAGAGAGAAATTACTTCAGTGTCATATCAAATAAACGTCGGTCAAATGTTAGTTCTGGGCCGCGCGCTTATAGTGAGCTTCAATCAATGGGCAGTGCATTAAAGTCGCCCATGACCAGGACGTCAAACCGGAGAGAGAATCGTTCTAGCTCCTCTAACAGAGGAGCCTCAACCTCGGAGTCACTCCTCGGTGGTCGATAAACGGTCAGAAATCCGAGGCTATGCGACCCCGGTATCCTTATATTGGGCCACATAGTGTCGGCGCTGCACGCAAAATGTTCTGTTTTCTCTGACACAAGCAATTCGTGTCTTACGTAAGTGACCACTTCCCCCTGATGCCTCCTCCTGTCTCTCCGAAACAACTGAAATCTTGGTAGCACTATTTCACGGTCATCCATGTTTTCAGACGGCCAGGTTTCTGTCAAAGAGATAAGGTCGGGAGAAAGGTCATAGATTTGGATCTTCGGTTCGTCTCATTTGGACAGTAAACTCTGCAGGTTGGTGTTTAGTTTGTTTCACAGTTCTGGGGCGTTTTGTTACGGTGCCGCTTGAGTTCTTATTTAAGAACCTGTGGCGCCCTCATTCAAATCGGTTTCGTCCAACGAACGTTGCATTATCTGATCATTGTAGATGATGAGATCCGCTTCGCTATTCTGCAATCTTGTTCTCAGTTGCAGAACTAATTGTCGACTCTTTTTTTCTCTGTATTGGTGTGTATTTCGGCTGAAAAAATGCCAAGGTTGGTGTCTCTGATTAGGAATCGTCGTTAAACTATGAGTCTTACTTGTTCTTGGTTATCGAACACAACCTTGAGTGGTTGACGACGTGAGTGCTGTGGTATGTTGATTGACCGCTTTCCAAATCTAAAGGTCTTGAGCACCGAAACTTCCTCATTGAGACGCAGAAGTTCGTTGAGTAGGCATAGAGAGCGTCGCAGATCTGCCGAGAACCGCTCTTTGGAGGCAGTGGATGTGGATTGGGGAAGTCCCTGAATAGTCAGACATTGCCGTATGTCCGGCGAATCCCTCGTGATCGCAGTGGTTTCGTGCCCCGACAAAGGTAATATGTGGTTTCCATGGTCTGACGATGATTCTGGTCGCATTCAAAGAAGATCCTCAGTCGTCGCTGCTTCGTTTGCATTATCATCAATTTCGGAAGTTTTTTCAATAGGTTGAGGGCTTTAGGACGCACGATGGACGACACAGTCGTTGATGTCCCTGGTTCCGGTTCTTTGGAGGCATTCCTTGGAATCGGCTGTCCATTTCCCTCGACCTGTTTACCACACGGTTTCTTTTTCCTCCTGTTTTTGCGTTTCTTCACTGGTCGTTGTTGTGTTGTATTTGAGCGTTTGTGCTGCGGCTGCTTTGATAGCTGCAGAAGCTGTTGATGGCGTGCATTTTGCGTGCCCTCCTTCAGCCCTAATTCTAGTTGTTCGTCAAACAGGTGTGTAGTTATCGTCGCCTGTGTCTAGCCTATATTGAAGAGGATTTGTTATCTTTTTAATCTCTCACTCAAGGCTCTTGATCTTTCCGGCCAGCATCTGGCATCCTCCGCAAATTCGATCGGTATGCTGTACGCCTATACTTTCAAGTAAACTTTCCGAGATCTCTCGCGGACGGGTTGCGGTAGCCGAGGTGCTTGCGTGCACGACTAAAGTGTTAGTGGTCGGTGGATCGATCCTATCCTGTGACTCAATATCTTGGGGGACAGCGCGCCCCTCCATTGTGCAGCGGACTTATGGAAATGGAAAAAAATCTGCTGTAACAACAAGCTTTTCCCATGGCACAATTGCATACAGGATATAGGCTTATGTTGGGTACGCCGACAAATTTCCAAGATTAAAGGCTTAGGGAACATATTTAAGTATGTCTATGTTTGAGAAAGTGACAATTGTGTGAATTTTAGCAGCACAGCCATCAGTGTGAAAATATCGACTCAACCCCTTTATAGATGCTGCTCCATACTTCGGTGGACAGTTGGAGACAATATACTGGATAGGTAGGGCCTGTAAATAAGACGAGATTTCTGACAGAAAGACCATTTTGCTGAAGTTAGCTCTGACCGAACGATAAGGGTATCGATAGAAGCTAGCCGGAGGATCGTAGTCAGGAATGCGTTTTATAATTCACTTCTTGACGAAGGACATTCGTTCTCAGCTAAGAGACTTGGTTGAAAAATCTCCTCCTTGCAAATCAAAGTTCAAATCCCGCGGTTAAAGACGGTGATATCTTAGGGGATATCAAGAATTCAGGAGATACAGGCTAAGCCGAGGAGGAGTCATAAATTATGTCCTTGTAAGGTGAGGGCTATGGCTGAAATACATAACCTGGTACGGTATGTGCAACTGTTAAGCATTATCATGTATGTTAAGAACATCCGCTCACTGACGCTTTCGGTGGTGAACCGTTCACCTAAACAGATTTCTGACCAAGATCTCATGCTCATAACTGAACTCTACATAGTCAGTGAGGCGAAGAATGTCTTTATCGTCGGGAATTTCAACGTCCTTGGCATTGATTGGCAAATGTGGATTGGGCAGGGGTCGTAAGACAACTTTAATCACAAACTACTACAATGGGCAACGGACAAACTTCTCTGCCAGAACGTTACCTTTGGAACACGGGCCAGGGAAGAACAGCAGTCGAACTGTCTTCATCCTATTTTTACTCGAGAGGGGGAAAATGTGCTAGACCTGCAGGATAGCCCGCCGTTAGAGTCATGCGACCACATCACGCTCTACTTCGAGTAGTCACTGTTTTCCAAACCGATCCAACCCGACAGGCCGGATGGAAACGGTTGGAAGGGTGACCATTCTCGCATGAGGAGAGAAGCGGCAGCTGTACCACAGGAGACTAAAATGCATGATCCGCCAAACGACAATTGGAATACTTTCAGTTCCTTACTTAAGAAGACTGTAAATTATAACTGTCCGCTCAAAAGAAGAACAATTAAAAATCGCCCAAGGCGGATAAACTTTGGCTTACAGGCCTCTTTCAAAAAAGGAATCGCTTGTGGAAGCGTTACAGGCTGACTGGCTCCAAAAAACACTTACAGGAATATAAGCGGCAAAGCAATGTTTGTAAAAGTGAGGCCTCAAAGCTGCGAAGGAAGTTTGGACTGAACATACTTCGAAATTCGTTGGAGCATTCGAAAATCCTATATGGTCATATACGAAGTACCAAAAGGATTCAGGAGCTGATCCCTGCAATTAGGTCTGTAAATGGAAAAGTGGAGACTGATGACCACGTTAAAGAATAGAATAGAATAGGTTTATTGTAGCGCCCCTTGGGCATTGTCAGTCGCCTTTGAACTCAGGAAAAAAAACCTAAAACAAACTCGTCAA